AGAAGAGAGAGATGGAGAGGGAGAAGAGATAAGGAGAGGGAGAGAGAGAGAGAGAGATGTGAGGGATTTTCACTCATGGCTGGCTGGCTGGCTGGGGACGGAAGCTCAAGAGCAGATCTGGAGCTGAGAGGAGCCGGCCGGCCATATCTTGGGGGGGGGAAAAAAGAAAAAGAAAGTGCATGATATGAGTGTGGATTGCATATGATTGATTGCAATTGCATATGATTGAGGATTTAAATGTCCCTGGGCCGCTCGATCCCTGACCAAGCGGTGTTTTGTTAGCTGGGGCCCCTGCATGGTGTTGAAACTGTTGATTGATTGGCTGAACTGTTGGTTGATTGGCCGGTGGTGAGGCCGAGGGAGAGATGGACGGATTGATTAGATGGGAGATAAGATGGCCAGATAAGATGCGATGAGATATCACATAGATCCGGGATCAGACAAGATAAGATAAGATACGGGGCCAACGACCGACCGAGTGACATCTGACGACACAGAGCTGCTGCTGCTGCTGCGGCCACACACGCCCGCCCCCCAGTCGCAGTCTGCAGAATCCCAAACACGCCCGCCTACCCGCAACAATGCTGGCCGCAAGAGCTGTCCCCAGGGCCCGTCTTCTGCTGCCCCCCCGCCTGCCGACAGCCCGCCCGCTCTCCTTCCTGCAGTCGCAGCCGCAGCAGACCCGCCGCCCCTCCCTCCTCTTCTTCCGCCGCCACTCCCCAGCGCCGCAGACCACGCCCCTCCCCCGCCACACCACCGGCCACCACCCGCGCCTCATCTCCGCCAAAACACGCGAATACCTGCTCCGCGAGTCCCTCATCGCCGCACGCATCGTCGTCACCGGCTACACCGTCATCTTCGCCGCCGCCATCCTCGCCCTCGCCGCCGCCCTCCTCCACACAGAACACACCCACCCCACCGCGCCCGACCTGCCCCGCACCGCCCGCCTCGCCATCACCCTCGCCCGCGTCATCACCCGCTTCACACCAAACAACACATGGCTCGCAGCCGACATCCTGCGCGACACAGCCCAGCGCATGCCGCCCTGGGACGACCAGAGCGCCCAGGCCCGCCGCGCATACCTTGCCACAATGGTACTCCTCGCCGAGCTCCTCGAGCAGCAGGACCGCCACGCCGAGGCGCGCGACTGGTACCAGCGCGTGCTGGCCACGCCGCGCGGGCCCGGCGACGCCCACTGGGCCGACGTCAAGGTGGGCGCTGCGCTGCGCGCCAGCCGCATCGCAGCGTTCATGGGGGACCTGGCGGCCGCGGAGCGCGCGCTCGTGATGGGCGTCGAGTGCACGGATGCTGGGGATGGGGCGACGGTGGAGGGGCTGAGGGCGCGGACGGAGCTGGGCGTGTTTTATGCGCGCTGTGGGAGGGGCGCGGAGGCGCTGGAGCTGTTTACGAGGGTGTTGGCGGCGCGGAGGGCGGTGGCGCCGCCGCAGGACCCGGGCGCGGCGGGCGCGGCGGAGGCGCTGGGGGATCCGTGTGCGGAGGCGGTGACGATGGCGTATATTGGGGAGGTTGTGTTTTCGCTGGGGGAGCGGCGGCAGGGCGTTGCGTGGAGTAAGGAGGCGTATGGGCGGAGTGAGCCGCTGGCGCTGCTGCGCGGAAAGTGTAAGGAGTGTGCGGTGGCTGCGGCGAGGAATGTTGCTGCTATGGTCAGGCTGATGGAGGAGCGGGAGGAGGGGGAGGAGGGGAAGGAGGGGAAGAGGGGGGGGAAGAGGGGGTGGACCTTGTTTTCGGGGGGGAGGAAGGCGGAGGAGGAGGAGGAGAAGGAGAGCTTGGAGGAGTGGGAGAGAAGGGTGGTGAGGCTGGAGAGTATCAGGGCTACGAAGGGGGCATAGGCCCGGTAGTTGTAGTTGTATATTGTGCATCTCACTGTGAAAATACTTTGTTTCTTTCTGGGAATGATATACATGCATTCCTGGTGTTCTGGCGTTTCATGTTCTGGGTCCACATCTCCTTCTCTTCCCAATAGTCCACCAGCAATGAACCCCCCAAGCCGGATATATATAGCATAGAGTGAATTATACATGTATTTTGTTGATATCGAAAAACCCATTACCTACATGCAGCTCTGTGGTGGTAACGAGGTCTACTTTGATCATTCACCACACCGTATGTGTATAGAGATACATGTACTATAGTGGTCACGCAGAATTGGCCTAAAAAGGTGGTGGTGGTTACCACTTATTGTTAATTCCCTATGAGCTCTTTTGAATGATTATATATCATCTTTAATTCTCAGAATATCCACGTCTGTATACAACGTGCATGCACATGTACATGTATGTCATGTAGTTGGTACATAGCTATTGTGGGCCCGGGCTGTCAGAAATAACTGGAAACTCATGTACATGCACATGCATACAGTACCAAGAAAGGGGGATGTGATACGCACTGTATCAATACGGGATTGTGTAAAACTCCGGAATTCTAACTACATGTATTATACCGTAGCAATACCGATTCTGTTAGCTGCGGTACTGGATCCACCCGTTTTTTTTTGGTACTGTACCTACATAGCTAGCCTCGCAAATGGCCCACAACAACCAAACCAAACCCCGAAAGTGGGCGCCCCCTGCACTTGGCCCCATGATAAAATCCCAGAAAATACTACTATAGAGAACTACAGAAGTAGAGAATCTCTCGTCTTGTTCCTCTTATGGTTGTGGGCATAAAGCGATGTTGATGTATATATATATTTCTATACAAATTTCGGTTGCAACGCAAAAGCTACAATGTAGCTACATGTATTTATGTACATGCTACATGCACTTTCAATGCTGGAACGTGCCCAGCTCACAGATCATCAGCGGTACGTACCAGGAACACATGTATAGCAATGTAGCAATGTAGAATATTGGCGGTCAAATGCTAACATGTAATGATTATCTATACAAGGCCTAGCTATAGAAAAGGATCATGATGGCTGAATCGATCGCAATGGAATTGCCGTCTTCGCCCCTCGGCCGGCCTCATGCTCACTGCATGTACAACCTCCTAGCCCGGCCCCCATGTAACCGGCCCTTTCAATGGCGTTGTTGTTTTGGTGGCGGTGGGTTTAAGGTTATTGGGCCGTCGTATGTTTATAGTGGGCATGATATTAGGATCCGATATATTCCTCCCGTCTGTATGCTCGATGGACGCAATTGCTTGAGTCATGTGTGTATGTACATACTCATGCAGATACGTGTAAGGCGAAAAGGTGTTATATGGATGGAAAGGTGGACGTCTAGAACTTCTGGAACGTGCTCACCAAGACTGCAGTAACTGTAGTATATATGAAACGTTGTTTCATAGCTTGTTTATTATTATTACTTCCTTCCATCTAGCCAGCTAGGCATATAAGCATTACAAAGCGATACTTGATGATATGAATACGAAAACGAGCCCTATCCGCACGCTTCACATGACCCTACTCACCTGAAGCCATGCATCCTCCTCCACCAGCTCCCTTCTCCCCGCCGCATCCACAACAACCACATCCCCCTCCTCCTCGCCCGGCTCCTCCAGCGCCTCAAACTGGCTCTCCACCAGCGCCGCCCCAAAGAAATGGCCCTTCCTCCCCCCGACACGCTCCACCACAAGCTCGTACGCCAAGCACAGGTAGACAAACCTCACCTGCACGCCCTCGCCCTCGCCCTCGCCCACACCCCGCATGACATCGCGATACCTCTTCTTGAGACACGAGCACGCAACCACAGCGCCCCCCCCCGCCGCCGCCGCCGCAGCAGCAGCAGCACGCAGCGCACTGAGCCAGCCCCACCGGTCGTCGCCCGTGAGTGGTATGCCGGCGCTCATCTTTTTGATATTCGCCGGGGGGTGGAACTGCACAAAAATCACTTGGGGTCAGAATTACTGCTTAACCAGCCCAGCTCAGCTGAGATCTCACTAGAGCCATTGGGGGGAGGGGGGGGGGGGGGGGACATTACACCGTCGCCCTCGGTGTAGGGCAGGTTGAGCTTCGCCGAGAGGAAGGAGCCAATGGTCGATTTCCCGCAGCCGCCAGGGCCGATGATGTACCATATATTGCGAGTGCGCAGAACGGGCACTTGAGAGGTTGGGGACGCCATATACTCGATGCTGCTACTGCTGCTGCTGTTGATACTGCTCGTGGGTCATGGTGGGCTCTAGATGGTCCAGGACCGGCCGCATATATAGCTTCGAGTGACATTGTGTGATTCTATTGTGGGGTTGGGAGTGGGGGGGCGTGGATTCTTTACACGCATTTAATATGACCATGAGGTCGAGGCAGATAACGGCTCCTCTATAAGACCACCAAGAAACAAGTATACATTCCCATATAGACCCAACCCTTTGTGCCAGCCATCAAACCTCCCCTCCCCCCCCTCCCCCTCCCCCCCCCCCACGCCGCTGCTGCATCTGGACCGTATGAAGTACCTATAAACCCACCAATATCCACACCATGTAGCATGCGCAGAAACCCAACATTGTCAGCCGCGCCGACCAGATCATGTCGCACGGTCTACAGTCTACACGTACTTAGATATACGTACCAGCGAAGATAGTCCGCAAACCATCTCCCAGCTAGGCCTGAAAGAAAAGAAGGTTAGCACACTGAAAATATAGGCTCCTTTGAGACGGACGACATGCGTACGTACGGACGGACGGGCACCTGCCTACATGTACATACAGATTGTTTGCACGACATGTTGTGTACGGTCCTTGAATTTCTAGACGAGTGACTGCAACGGCAACGGCACAGAGGTGGGTGGGTGGAGTTGGTGCAATATCTGGCCCTGACACTTGTATTAAACTTCTCTGTTGAGCATGAGGCACCCATCGACGAGACAAGTCATCAGGCATCACTCGCACACAGAAACCGGCGCTAAGCCATATTTCTCACCCCTGTCTTAGTATGTAACACAGTACCTATTCAAGTAGCTTTAGTAGTAGGTACACTGTCAATGCGGTACACCAGCGCCGTCGCGCTAAGTGTTTATGTAAACCTCAAGCAGATGAAACACCAAGCGCTAATAGCTCAGTTGGGAGAGCGTCAGACTGAAGCTGATCAGTCACAAATCTGAAGGTCACCCGTTCGATCCGGGTTTGGCGCATTACTTTTTTTTCCCTCCGCTCCTCCTCCCTCCCTCCTTCTCGAATCGTCAAAATTACTATTATATCAGCCTGCTCATATAGGCATAGCACGGCTGAAAAGTAACAAACCGGTTCGTTTTAGGTCTTAGCGGTCTACCGCGCCAACTTGACACGCTATTATTTTCTTTTACATATGTACCCGTATCATCCAATTCAGTTCAAAAATTCATCGTTCCCTTGCTACATAAAAGTTAATGTCCCGGAAACTCAATGCATCGTATGTCACATACTGATCCCTAGATAGCCAAACTTACAAGAAAAAGAAGGAAAATCAAACCTGCGCCAAAGAAATGAGTTGGAAATAACAACAAAAAGCAATTAACGCCCAAAAAAAATTTGAATACCCGGGTCCCTGCCCCCTTACGAAAAGTGCAGACGAAAACTACAAAGAAACGAAAACGCGCCCGCCCGTCCGCCCCCGCCCGCCCCGTCCGCCCCGAGAAATGAACATGGGGCCATGAAAAAAGAAAAAAAGAAAGAAAAAAAAACAATGCTCCCGAAAATTACAAAAGCAATAAAAATGCATACAATAGAAAAGCTAAAAAGAAAAATAAATAAATAAACAGGATAAAAGCAATGTTTTTCGGAACAAAAATGTAACGGCAGTTAGTTATTGCGAAAACAGTTCGCGCGCAACTTTACTCAAGTCCGACAATGCCAATTCCTCTGTCCTTGATTGCACCCAATCCTCCGTACGCAACAGGGGCCCGTTTAGCGAGAAGCGCAAGAACCCGTAGTCTTCCGCAAAGTCCGGGTCCTTTGCCGCAAGCTCTCTGCAGCCGCTGAATTCGAGGTACTGGAGTGCAATCAGGCTGGCCCAGATGCCGTTGCGGGCCCATTTGCGGATGTCTGGGAGCATGATGGACTGCTCGTGCTGCTGGAGGGTTGAGAGTGGGATGCCTATTGTCCTTGAGAAGGATTCGTTGAGCTCCAGAAACATGCTCGATGAGTGTCGGAGCTGGTCATCGAGTTCATGGACAAGAGTGCGGGGATCTACCGGCACTAGCAGCTCATGTCTCTGCTGCTGCTGCTGCTGCTCCTGCTGCTTGAAGGGCGAGGTGTGGTGTGGGGAGTATTGTGGTGTTGATGGGGGTGTTAGAAGCATTGATTTGGTTGAGGATGAGGTTGCTGAAGCTCGTCGGGGGATGTGGACGACAGCTGCCCGGGTTGGTGATACGGCTTGAGCAGTCTCCTAAATTGGGTCTTAGCAAATTGGAATATGGGACGAAAGATCGGTGAGAAACGTACCACAGAGGAATCATAGAAGGTTCCAACGGTTAAACGAGGTGTATGAGGTCCATCCGAAAGCTCCCCTCCAGAGTAAAAGACTTCGTTTGTATCTTCAGGATCCGAGTCGTCATACCAGGTAAACCGAGAGGACACATAAGAATCCATTGAATCTCGAACTCTTGCCCACTCCGCAACTAACTCCATCGACGGAACGCTCTCTAAGCAGTCGTAGAAGATCTCCTCCTCCTCCTCCCCCTCCCCCTCTTCCACCTCTTCCTCCTTTTCGTTGTCGGCTTCGTCCTCCTTTCCATACACATATGTTCCTTCGGCCCCATACACCTCACCTTCCTCCATGTATTCATCCTCTTGATCATCGTAGTTACTTCCATTATCACTTTCGGCAAAAAGGAACGACCGACCCGCAAAGTGATCATCATTGTCGTCTTCTTCAACATCACACCACGTTATTCCAGTGGTACAGCTCCGAGTTTCGTAGTCCTGATAACTCGGGGTGTGACACTCCGACACATCTGTCCCATCATTCTGAAAACACTCGCTAAAATCCGTAAACCCTCCCTCCGATTCCGAGTCGTTATCTGAGAAATTCTCGGTAAAGAAGGTGAGCTGGAAATCGTCGTTTCCCTGTTACGTGTTCAATATCAGCCGCTGGACCAAAATGAAATTTCCTAAAACATGTGTGTAGGAGATAGCTATCATAGGTATATACTTACTGGAACAACTGGTTCATTAACTTCGATTGTCGCTGTATTTAATTCGATATCCGTGCTTATCGAATGTGAATCGGAACGCACATCAAGGATCTGGCCAGGCATGGCTGACTCAACGTTGAATGAAAACATCGTAGCGTTTTCCACTGGATACATCTCATGAGCTCTTGTCACCATTCCCCCCTTTAGGGACGAAGGAAGAGGAACGGAGATGTGGACAGCGTTTTCTTCGACAACTGTTTCATAAATGTAGCTGGTATACACGTCAGAAGGTGTCTCCGGTTGCTGCTGGCTGCAGCAGCACAGATAAATAAAGGAACATGCGGATCGGAAGAACAGAGACAACACCAACCGAATAAATATGACCGCGTCCTTTCCAGCCTCCACACACCCAACGTTACACTGGAAGAATGAGCCGAAATGTAATATATTCGAACATTTTCTGGCCTCGAGTCGCTCTTCGGGATTCCCCGATATCAATTTGTCGGTACATTTTTCGATACTACAATCGATGAAAGTTACAGAAGAGTCTTCGGCGAGACGGCAGTGGAACACCGCATCTGCAAAGTCGTTCCGGGATGTATTCTGGAACAAGAACCCCAGGGATACAAGGTTCCGAAGTCCATGTATTGACACCTCAACAGAGCAATGGATAAGTGAAGCCTGGCAAGCCGTACCCCTCTCGTCGTAGAGTCCGGTGAAGGGCATATTACTTAGTGCCATTGTATATATTCCTTCTCCCGGAAAAAAAACAATCTCAGGCTGATCAGAATTCTGGAAGAAATGCAGGTAAAGAAAAAAGAGTCAATATCACCGGAAGAAAGCCTTTGCTTGCTACGTTTGACTCGACAGCGCAGAAGGGGAAAAATAAATAAATAGCCAAGTCACTACAGTTCCCATCGCAAGGTGTTGGGACAGGTTTTTTATACATTCGCCTCAACCAGGCCGCAAAGAGAGATGATTGCGGCATCAATAGTTCATACCACCCAGTTGGAGCACTGCAAGGGCCATTGAGCGCGAGAAGAATAGGAGACCGCGAATCGCACCAAGCAAAATGGAGATCACAAAAGCTACCCCGCAAGAGTTTTTTCACCGTGAGCTGCAAGACAGATTGGAGGTTGGGTTTTGTGTGTGGACCAGCCAGCTGCTCGACCTCCAGACCCCTGTTCTCGATTTGAATTGGTCCTAGCTTAAGAACCTGTCGGTTACTATCCTAGAAAAAGCCACACGCCGATCCTTCGGTGCAAACGTTCTTACCACGATACGATGCAAGGCAGCAAACCGTGAAACAAGAAACAATAGATTATTTACCTAACCACATTTATCTACCTACTCTCTTTCTCTGAGGTATTAGTCCTTTTCATATATTTACTTTGCCTTACGAGCCGAAATATCATCCTCAGAAGGCATTGTGCATTGTATTCATCCTCTAGGCTTCCTTTGTCGCAAAAGCCCTGTCGAGCTTAAGATTGAGCAGAAAAGAAGACATGAGCACTTGAAGGTAGTTTGTCTGAAGGAAAAATTTCCTAGGAAACATGTATTACTACCATCCATCGCGCTTAATATCAGAGTCTTGGTGTTGGTGGCTTTTCCAACAGAGACAGACAGGCGCTGGGGCCTCACCTTAAACGTTTAGTTTCTGGAGGCTGGCTGCCAAAATACTTGGAGGCAACACGATTTAGAGCCCAACTGGTGTGTCTCATAGCCAAAAGTAGCATGGCTACTAAAAAGCAATGACTTAGCAGCTGCGCAGCCCTACCCACGCCGCATAAAAAAATTTCAAAGCTTTCAAAAACACTTTCCTTTCTATTGTTCGCGTCACTGCTAGCCAGTGCTAGGTAGCTGAGTGATGTTTCTACTCGGAGCAAGGGCCTGAAGTCACTGAATCCCGCATTCTTTTGTACTATGCGGAGATGAACCCTTCCAGACGCCGGTCGAATAATAACGTGGGTGTGGGAGTTCTTTAGGGGGAGGGTCACGATCCATCTTTGCGAAATCTAGCCATCCCGGGGAAGATCATCGATGGCTAGAACTATAGGCAAACAAAATATTAAATCATATACTCAAAAATAGATACCCTCATGCAAGGAATCATTACTCGTGCATGCAACTCATCTGGTTACCATCGATCCTGCATCTGTTCTATCGTTCTTGATTCAATCGCCCTTGGGGAAGGAAATAATTAACGAGAAAAAGAAGAAGTCACTCCGCGCTCCCTCCTGAGTTGGAGGCTTAAAGTGGAAAATTGTATCCGAAGCCCCTTTTTTATTTTTATTTTTTTTAAATCACGTGAATTGATTCCAGGTACAATCATGGCATAAAGTTAATACTATGGCCTAAAAACCTATCCCTAATGCCAGCTCCTCCAGGTATAGTAGCTATGGTATGCCATCAACTGCACTCCTCTTGCAAAGTTGACGCCGGTATCCGAAGCCCCCAAAGTATTTCATTCCAGAATCTTTGCTTGGTCTAGCTACCCCCCTCCCCCCCCCTTGAAGCTCGTCTCTTGGTGTGGAATTTTTCTGCATTCCCAAGCACCCTTGCCCTGTGGTAGATATAGAAGAAGGGGGGGGAGATTCTGGGTCTGAAAGCTTAAATACCCTGAACCGATTTCCAGAATTTTAAAACGGAAAAAAAAAATTTGGATGATGTTTTTTTTAATAAGATAGTTACAGGTATCTTTTGACATGGACAAAAACCAATTGGATATATGAAATCACTCATCCCAAGTACCAGTTTTACCCATGGCTTCCCGCATCTCCATCTGCTCAATCCATTCATCCCTATCTGGAGCGTCACCCATGATGATAGGGACATCTGGATTGCAGTTGTCAGGGTCTATGTGGGCGACTTTCAGATATTCGATGATTAGGTCGTGACATTCAGGGACGATCGCTTGAGCATGCATTGTCCCTAATAAGAACTGGTGAGTACAGGTATCTCTTTTTCCAAGATCGAATGAGGTTTCACAACATACCTGACGAGAAAGTAGCACAACCAAA